GTGCCTGACATGAGAAGCTATAAAACCTCTTTCAAACTTCACTCTTTGAAATCTAGCATGGTCCTGAGGCTCCTGAGGCTTTCCATTGCACTGCACTGAACTAATTTAAGAATTTTTGAGCAGACGTAGCGTGGCTGATTCCAACTGCTTTTCACGCAACAGATGTAATCATTGCTATATTGATCTGGCAATATATCACCTTTTCCCCAAGAGTGACAGCTCTGCCCTTTAAACAACAGTACTTTGTACTCCATCTTAAAAGTGGTCTGCCTCTCAATTTCTAGGTTTTCCTCTCAACAGAGAAAACAAGGACGTATTATCAGCAGTTTTATGCAATATATAGTCTCTCAATTACCTATAGAGAAGCATCACTATTAAATACTCATCTTCTAATTTATAGCATGTAGTTGCAGCTAATTAAAGTTAGATGATCACTAGCTATTAAAGATTAAATTCAATGCTTAGGAGACTGTTGCCTTTGATGTTATGAGATCCCGCTTCTAATTGACTAGGACATCAATCAGATTGTTATGAAGCATTAGTAATCTGCTGTTTATATCAACTGCGGTAAAAATTGAAGTTTAGCCAGCCTAGCTCAGACATACAAAATCACTTGTTTTATCTTTAATTTGCTGGCCATTTGAGGAAGCACTGGCAGACAAAATAGGAGCACCTGCAGTTCCCTTCAGGGCATTTTGAGCATCAGTTGCTGCCCCACTTCTCTTTTGCACAGCGAACAAGGCTACAAGAGAGAGGTCACCCAGGGTCCCGTGGAGATGAGCCTTTTATCCCATAACCTAACGCAAGGATTCATCTTCATAAAGGTACATATGAACTCTATCAGCATACAAAAGAGGAGCATTTTCATCTGTATGTACACACAAACATGTGTGCACATCATGACAAAGCAGCAATAAAATAGCATGGCTTCTCTCCGAGATTAATTATTGCTTTCTAAAGCTTGTATAATATTCGTCACTACTATTTTAGTATCAAAAGGTAAGTTCTGCTGATATCTCTTCCCCAAGACTAGCACTAGAAACCTGGGCATGACACTTGAGCAATGACAGTTAAACTAAAATTATAGTATTGTGAAGTCCAAATTGCGCAGGAACTGTAATCGGCATCAAGACTGTAAGCTGTTTAAAGAATACAGATCCGTTTATATCTCAGAGACGGAAAAGCTGCACAAAGTGGCTATTACAATTCTTGATTCACTCTATACATGGCTCTACAACAACAGTTTCCGACCTTTCTTCCAAAAACAAACAAGGCTCTTACCTTCAATACTGATGCTTTCCGCAAATTGCTACCTGCACCTTAATTTACCAACTCTGGATTGTTACTACTCATCTTGCCAGATGCTTCACTCTGATGCAATTTTCTTTCTCCAGAGCTAATGTCTGCCTTCAATTTTGCTAACCCCTGTCCCAGGAGATGGGTCAGTGTGATAGCTTCCATTTCACAGAAAGAGGAGTTAAGTGACTCACCTGAGGCAACAGTAACTGGCAGAGCCAGAAGCACAACTCCTATTTTCTTTTCCACATTCACCACTGGGAAAATCGCTGTGTGGCCATATGTTGTGAATCTCCCAAACTGGGAACAACAAGGAGCAATTATGGTGCACTTATGTGCAAGTGTACACAGGCAGCGTAACCATGTGCAGGGCACGTATGTTATTCTCACATACACCAACGGATAGTTTGATTGCAGTCCAAAGGTAAAATTAGGAAGAATATCGTCTCCTCCCTTCACCTCCATAGGCTCCTAGCATGGGCACAGATGAACACACACTTACCCACACTTACCTATCCAGAGGGAGAAGGAAAGGGAAAGATGAGGAAAAATAAAGGAGTCAAAGGAGCAACTTAAATTTGCAAGATAAAGCAAAGTTGCCATAGCAACTGCTTTTCCCATGGTACAGCTCAACTTGACAGAAGCGACAGGTTTCTGATGCATCCTGCACCACTTAATACTTTTTCCAGGCAGCAAGCTATCGCCTGCCAGAAATAAATTACACAGTGTCCTCTAGGTAGAAGGAAGCTTTTCACCTTCTGTGAAACTCCTTTGGCAGCACTGAAGCATGGCCACTGCTGGGTACACTACTGCACATCTATTCACATCTTCATATATCAACAGACTGACTCCGTGAAAGACATGTGTCATGGTTTAACCCCAGCCAGCAACTAAGCACCACGCAGCCGCTCACTCACTCCCCCCCATCCAGTGGGATGGGGGAGAAAATCAGGAAAAGAAGTAAAACTCCTGGGTTGAGATAAGAACGATTTAATAAAACCGAAAAGAAGAAACTAATAATGATAATGATAACACTAATAAAATGACAACAGTAGTAATAAAAGGATTGAAATGTACAAATGATGCGCAGGGCAATTGCTCACCACCCGCCGACCGACACCCAGCCAGTCCCCGAGCGGCGATTCCCTGCCCCCCCTTCCCAGTTCCTAAACTAGATGGGACGTCCCATGGTATGGAATACACTGTTGGCCAGTTTGGGTGAGGTGCCCTGGCTGGGCATGAGAAGCTGAAAAATCCTTGACTTTAGACTAAACACTACTGAGCAACAACTGAAAACATCAGTGTTATCAACATTCTTCAGATACTGAACTCAACACATAGCACTGTACCAGCTACTGGGAAGACAGTTAACTATATCCCAGCTGAAACCAGGACAACATGTTTGTATACCTTACCAGAAACATGGAGTCCGAGACGCGTCTTGACCATGCAAAGGGTCAGCAAACAAACCGGGGAGCTCCTGTTTCTCCAGTGCACATTAACACACTCAACTTAAAAAATTCTGACATCTATAGCATAACTTGAAGTAGCAGTTGTTCAGATAACTGCAAATGCAGAATTGCTGCCCAATTACGATTCCTCTCACTTTAGCACAAAACTTCCTTTAAGGATCTATATTTGATGATTACTCACTGTGGGAACTGAATGAGAACGCACAAATTTTCATCTTTGAGATGCCCATTATGCTACAGTCTATTACATTGTATTATTTGAAATAGCTGCTCTGTGATTTGAAGCATCAAGTATTTTATGGTTTTGTTACCAACCTGAGCGTTTCAGTTAACAGGAATCTGGGCTGAGAAAGGGGCATGGAAATATAGTATTCTTCCCCATTTCTTCTTTAGGAATGAGGCCGTTCAGCAGCAGCAGTATTCAAGTCTATAGTTTTATTAACAAGCTACCACACTAGTCACTGATTTATTTTTAGAGACTTTGGGAAGTTTAAAACTCATTGAGAATGAATAGCTGCAATTGTATGAAGGCTGCCAAATCGGCTGACCAGCCATTATGGCAAAGGATGAAAAATCCCATTAAACACCTCTCTTAAACTACTGGCCATGCCTGCGATGCACCTACCAGCTCTAGCTGCTTCTCACTTTGCTTGCTTCACTTCACATTCTAGTGGGAGAACTGAATAAAATCCCTTTAGAAACCCCAGTCACAGCTATCGAGACATCTCCGCTTCACATTTCCCTTCATTTCGCAACTTTGCGCTTCTCTCAAACAGCAATGTCACAAATGTTGTCACAGCTGACAATTAAATGAGGCTTCATCTTCCAGCCGGCTCCTCGCCATCCCTGTCAGATCCCAACAAGGCATCCTCCCACCCCCTCTTAAGAGACCCTTGCTTACCCTGAGACCTCCTGCTTCCTTTCTAGCTCGTAGCCGTGACAACAGGAGGATGGATGGCATCCTTCCTCAAAGAGGCTCTGGGGATGGGCGTTTTAACACGAGACTTCTGAAAATCCCAAGTGACTGTAAAGTGAAATGTCTGTTTCAAGGACTTCATGCCATTTTCATACACAGTTCCTTTTTTTTTTTTTTTTTTTTTACAAGAATTTGCTTGCAATGGTAGGTATTTGAAATAGGAATCGCAGCAGAATGACTATCCTGCATTCCTTTCTTTAGGGGACTGCTTACCAAAGCACTAGATTTGAACCCAGACTTTCAGGTATATTACTGAAGCTATTAGATATCATTCTCCTTTTGCTTACTCCACTCCAAACTTTAGTGCAACCAGTGGCATTACATTAGAAATAATCATTATCACTCATTAGAGAAATCATTATCACTCTGTTTAGAGAAGTTATCATCCTTACGAAGCACACAACTATGAAACACTAAATCCAAATCAAATGCTAGCTCCCACTTTCAAGTCATTCTACCCCTCCTTATCCCTTCCACCCCTGGTTAATCCCAAACAAAAGCCTATAAACAGAAAGGCATATAATCAGAAAGTCAACCAGCCCTGCATGAGGGAACAGCTATAAATGTAATCTGCATGCTGTCCATGGAGACTTAAATAGTTATTCCCAAGTAAATTTTACTCCAGCGGACAAATGTGAAAACCACACAAATACATAACCTAAAATTTTCCATGTGGTGTCCAATTCATACCAGTGAGTTTTATCCACATGACACCACAAAAGTGGAGAAAAGGAAACACACAGCAACTGATACAGGCTGAAGGTTTGGCTGAACATGGTAAGGCCATAGCCACATAGGCAGAACATTGCTTTGGGCATCTCGCAACTTTGGGCATCTTGATTTCTTCTCTCTTGCCCATATTTTTAAGTAAAATAATTACACTTAATCAGCATAAAAGTAACTAAAATCTCCATCTCAATTTCCTTAAATGTTAACAACTAAGACATTGCTCATCAGCATCACTTGGTCCATTAAACTGGACTATGAAACTTAATTATGTCTGTAAAGAGTTTAGAGATCCTCAAGAGGCAGCACAGAAGCAGATGTATTATTAGTTTTAATAGTGTAGCTCCTCAACAACAGGAGTTTAATGAGCAAAGACTAAGGCAGCCATTGCCTCCTCATCCCCCCATTTACAGTTACTCTTTGCAGGATAGCTCTTATTACACAGAATATGTCGAACTATGCTCTCCTTTTTTCTTACTTCCACTGCCTACTTCACAGAGGTATGAGCATGGGAATGTGAGCAGCGTTACCTGTACACTAGTATGTCGTCAGCAGAACTGTTATACTGAATCTGGTACATTCGAATCCCAGGGAGGTGATGCTGAGAAGGCCACTGGATAAGAGCAGAAGATGATGTCAGCTCAGCAACCACGACCACCTTCTCTTGCTGAGCCTTCGTTTCGTTTGGAAAGCTGGACTTGGCAGATATGAGAATATCTGAGGGGCCAGGCTCCGCATCTTTATCGCAGTTGGTGCTGTTAGCAAGGTTAGGGTACGGGGTAACGAGGAGTTCAACTGGAGCCGTCGACTCTCCCGCAGCATTTGATGCTATGCAGGTGAACGTGCCCTTGTCAGTCAAAGAAGTAACCAAAATATCCAGAGTACCATTCTCATAAGAAATCGTCCTGGACGTGTTAGAGACCAGCTTCCCATCAGGTGAGATCCAGCGAACGTAGGGATCTGGATCGCCAACAGCTTTGCACTTCAAAGAGACACTTTGGCCTTCCGTCACTGTTAGTTTTGGGGTTCGATGCGTTATCATTGGGGGTTCACAGACAAATTCCTCCTCTTTAATAGACCAAAAGTATTTGCCCATCAGTTCTGGTGGAGAGGCGCAGGTTTCTAGATCATCTTCTCTGGTGAGACGTCTCAGCCACACGAGTTCACAGTTGCAGTGCAAAGGATTCCCTCCAAAGCTAAGCACAAGGGATGAGAGCGGAGATCCTTTAGACTTGGCATACACTGGTATTCTGGAAAACAAAGGGTCAGGAGGGATCTTTTTCAACTTGTTGGAGGTCATGTCTAGACGGGCAAGTTTGTGAAGGTTTGAGAAGATTCCCTCTGGCACAAACTCAATGAGATTATGATCCAAACTGACTGTATTGACATTAGAAAGTTTGGCAATTGTTTCCCAAGGAACGTTAACAAGATTGTTGTAGGACAGATCCAGGTCTTCAATTGTTTCAATAAAGTCATCCAACGACCCAGGAGAGATATAGTTTAATTGATTGTTACTGAGTATTAAATGTCGAAGGTTAATTAAACCTTTGAAATGATCTTCATTGATGTAGGTCAGTCTATTACTATCCAAGTGTAAGGCGTGAAGGCCTTTAAGATCAAAAAATGCATAAGGCATGATTTGACTTATTGTATTCCTTGATAGTGTCAAATGAATTAGATTAGTCATGTTTGCAAAATCTTTTCTCCTAAGTGTAGTAATAAAGTTATCCATTAACCTTAGTTCGGCTGTCCTCCTGTCAATACTGGGGGGCACAAAGAGAAGCCCCGTCTTCGTACAGAGAATTGTGAAGGATGGAGACAGGTTTTGACACATGCATCTTTTGGGACACATCATGGCCTTCACGGCTGTGCTAATAACCAGTAGATAGACAACCAGCCTTTCCATCGTAAGAAAAATAACAGACCTAAAGGGGGGGGGAAAAAAAAAAAAGAAGAAATCCATGTAAATGTATTTTAATTGGGCATTAGAAATAGGTTTACATTGAAGTTTTCATTACAAGTCTGCCTGCACAAACTGGAAACACCTTCCAAGACAATAATAAAATTACTGGTAATATTAACTTGGATGTTTTTAGAGCTAAGAGCTTCTAGTTCTGTGCTGGTTTGGCTCCACTTTCTTCCAGACAGCAACACTTAGATTGACTGTGAGGCAACAGTCCATCACTACTGCTTCTCCAGGATGCACTAACAGGGTTATCTACCTACTAGCAGCTCTTCCCAACCAACAGTGTTGACAGTTGTACTTTAATAGGTGGAACAAAGCAAGATGTGAAGCTGATACTTGGTGAGAGGAATGTGAGTGGTGTGGATTAAATGTGAGGAAGCAAATAAATATACAAGATTTTTTAGGTTAAAAATACCATCTACATAACTTTCTCTACACACATCTGACTATTTGCTGGGGCTAGAACCTCATTTCAACCTGCATATCACTTCCTCACTTTGTGATTATGCTCCCCTCACTTTCTTGCCATTATAGATGTCCAACAACTTTTTTGTCTTACACCTCAAGCTCATCTATGCCCCTCCTCAGTTTGACCTGTATCAAGCAGTGAGCTTTTTGTAGAAATGCATGTTTTAAGGACAAGGGTTTTTTTCCCCAGGAGGTGGCAGGGGTCTAAAACTTCTACAGCAAATAAGAAGGAGAAATACATTCAAAGGCACTTCTGAAAAGCAAGGCTGTGTTCAATCACAGAAGCAGGTATATATATTTTTTTTCTGTGCAGCACAGGTAGCAGCTTTAGAAAAATAAATCTCGTAATTGCACATGGGTTTGGTCAATGAAATTATCTCTGAGAAATCTCATGTATGCCAAGTTATTTCCCATTGTACTTGAAGTGCTTGCCTCCTATACCAAGGGTAGATTTTCATTTCTACTTTACCTCCAGCTGGCTGGAAAATTGCGAAGTGCAGTGACTCAAGCAACCACAAAGGCGAAAACTCCCAATCTGCAATGTAAAGGACTCAAACTATGTGTTTCGTGAGAGTGCCCTGGTATAACCCAATTCCAAACTCTAGCTGGCGAATCCTACTCCAAAAGAAGGGCAGTGGTCGTTTTGCAAATGAGCCCATGTAGTTCTACTTCACATCTAAGTTCTAGCACACTAGAGATCACAGCTGATTAAAGTTAGTTCCACGTGAAAATTCCTTCATATAGTGGGTAAACGCAGTGCAAAAATAATCAACTAGTGCCTTTGAGCACAAACAATGCAGCACAAGACATCGTCCTCAGTTTAGCCCAAAGTTGGGGACAACATAATCTGCTGAGTCAGCTATCTGTAAAAGAGCCTACCAAAGCTTTTGGTTACAAGAACACAATTTGCTCTAAGTCAGCAGATTCTTACAGTATGTTTGTGGGTTTGGGTTTTTTTTTGTTTGTTTATTTGTTTTTTGTTGGTTTGGTTTGTTTCACTTTAATGATTTCCATGAGCTAGAGCTCCTTTACAGGGCAACAGATCTTTGAGATACAGAATTACAGTATCACAGTTGCAGAGTCTGGAAATCAGTTTGGTTAGATCAAATTTAAAGCTCCACAGAGGGGAAAAAAGTTATTAAAATCAATCCATTGCTTATACAGTATTATTACTTCAATTCAGAGAGCATGAAACTCAGTCTAAACCTCTTAACCATTGCTACATATTCATTTGTTAGAGGTTAATCTTTAGTCGTATGCAATTCTGACCAAGTCTCCGCAACTGCAAAGTATTTTGTAAAAAGTAAACAAAAAAGAGACAACCCAATCAACCAAACCCTCTCCAAAACCTCTGAATGGTTAGAGCACAGACACTATGAGAGGCAGAGAGGACAGGGCTTAATCAGCCTGGAGAAGAGAAGGCTTTGGTGGACCCTGTCGTAGGAACCTTCTTGTACCTCCGAGGAGTTTATCAGGAAGATGGAGCCAGGCTCATCACCGTGGTTCATGACAGAAGATCAAAAGACAAGGGACAGAAATTAATACAATTAAGGTTCAAGCTGGAGATGAGGAAAAAAAAATTTTCTGGAAGCAGCTTGTCTGGAAAGGTTGTGGGACCTCCATTTTGGGATGAGGTGACTGGACAAAGCCGTGATCCCAGAGCTGACCCTGCTTTCAGCAGGAGATGGGACTACAGACCCTCAGACTTCTTCCCACCTGTGTTATCCTGTGACCTAATAACCATGAGTATCTCCACGTTTTTCACATTTCAGCTGTAGCTCTACAAACCGTAGCCTCTGCCTCTGATTTTTAGTGCTGGTTTCAAATTCCAATTCCAAACATCGCTTTTTATATTTAAGACTGTCAGTTCTATGCAGAAAATGATACATTTTCTGTTAAGAACAACAGAGCTAGGAAAACAAATACTACAGTAGAGTTTGCGCAAAGCGAGTTCACTTTATACTTACAATTTTTTTCTAATAAACATCCTCTTAGTAATGTCTTGCTTCCTGATTAATTTTTTTCTCAACAGCTTTTATAATATTTAATATAGTCCACTACAAGCTTTATCTTCCAAGTATTTCCTTTTTTAAGAAACCCATTTCCACTGTCACTCTGTCCTATGCTCTGAACCCTTCTTGCCTCTAATGGCTCCATCTTTTCACTTCTGCTAGGTACAAATGATTAATGGATGCACAACTATCCAAAACCAGGCTGCTGTGCAATATTGTAATTCCCTTGTTTTGTCACTAGCAAATATTAATGCAACATTAATGGATTAACTGACATCTGGGCTGTAAGAAACCAGGACAAAACCACCTCACTTAAACCATTATTCTGTTAAAAAAAAATAATTAAATGTTACTAATGTGAAACCATGGCACTAAAATTAATGATTTTAAAGCCAACAATGAACATAGTACAACTACTCTTACAAACTATATAACCATCGCAAAGAAAGGGTGACTTGTAAAGAAAAACTGCATATAAGTGAATTACTGCTGTTGCTCTGGATTCTTGGTAAAAGCAGGTTTGGCACTATAACCTAAAAACTGCATCGGGAACATACCTGACTGCATGGTAATACAGTAGTATTTTTAAAGACAGTTTAATCCACACCACCTCAACAGAAGACAGTAAAAGAAATAAATTTCATGCTTATAAGACTACCCACAGATGAAGGACATGCAGGAAAAAAAATTTCCCTGAACTGTTGCTTATTGACTCATTTCCTCAATTACCATCTGCACGGTTGCAGCTTAAAGTTCACGCAAAAAAAAAAAAAAAATTGGTTGAGGTAGTCATTTAATTGCAAAGTAATAAAGACCTATAGAATAGAATACTTCCAGTTGGGAGGGACCTGCAGCAGGGGGGTCATGTTCAAAATATGTGCAGAGATAGGGTTTTTTTCTGTTTTCCTACAGCAAAACATTACTAGGTGACCACTACCTATCATTTGTAGTCGAAATGGCATTTAAAGGAAGGGATATTTAATTCCAGCAATTCGCAGCTATTGGCCTATTAACTTTGTTCTGTTGGAAGGAATTCAGGTTGCCTCTGCTGTAAATATAACATTTTCAACAGCTTTAAATTGGTATCGTGGTATAGAGATTTCTTACACTCTGCAAAACACACACTGTGTGAATAATGATGCATAAAGACACTGTTTTACCAGCTTTAAGGAAGAAACTCCATCTTCCAAAAAATGGTCCTTTGTCAAGTGCCTTTACTGGGGAACAGCACCTTTCTCCAACACAAAGCGTACTTATTTCAGTGTAATCTGTTTCCTTTTCTTGCACCTAGCTATTCATTTTACTGGAATTATGAGCAACATATATTCAAGTACATGGTTTCCAGCCTATACATGTTTACGCTGCATCTATTTGGCATTCATCTGCATCTTTCCGTGGGGTTTAAGGGGTGTAGCTACGTCTGGTTTTTTGGTTCATTCTCCACTGAATGGGGTTCCTGACTCAAGTGTTGAACATCATTGCCAACTATTCTACGCCCAGATGTATGCCATGTCTAATACCGTCATCACCTCCGCCTTTGCCTGTTCAAAGACACATCTTCCTGCTATTTTTGAGCATGCACTAAAGGCTTGCTAAATCTGTTATTCTCTTATCTACACCATTTAATTGCTCGGCACTGGCCTCACACAGTACCCTGAATACAAAAGCTGCAGCTGCATCAGCGTCTGATCGTACTCAGGTCTATCCGAGAGAGACCTTGGCTCCCTATGGCACAGAAATTTTGATATAGAGACCGTGGCAAATAGAGACTAGGTATTAGAAACAGCTATTTCATACCTTGCACCCTCATCACAGAGAAACACAGTCCGAGATATTTCATCCACCCAAGCATTGCTTTTCCAACAAACAAAATTAAATCTGATACAGGAGATATTTCAGCAGAGGCTATCCACTGCTGAGTCTGGCTGAGATGAGCAGACTGTGCTCTGACATATTTCAAACGCAGATTGTTTGACTGTCAGACTGCTGTGACGACCTGGTTGCTGCACAAGACAGGGGCTCGCCATCAGCATCCTTAGAAGAAAAAAACAAAAGCTTTTTCTTGAGGGAAGCTTTATCATTATCCTTTTCTGATCCAGAGTTAGCCACTACATTGGAAAAAAAGTCTTTAATTTACCAACAAATAATAATGTGCTTAATTTAGTGTTGCTTGCCTTACCTGTAGTTGAGCAAGAAACACTTCCAGTAAGTGTTTAAGTATCTTGTTAATTTTCCTTCTTTCTTTTTTTCTTTTTTCTTTTCCAAGACCATTGGAAGTAAATCTCCAGACACAGTTGGGCACAGAGCAGATCAGCCACAAATCTGGTAGCCAGCATTTGTCCAACCCCAAATTACCATAATTAATATTAATACCATAATTAATATTAATCCTAGGATTTTTTTTGTAATTTTTTTTTAAATCTAGTTCACAGCATAAAAGGAAAACCAAACCATCTAATG